CCCAAGTAGAAGATGAGATTGGACATTTAGTATTAGTATTTGTCTCCTTTGAAAGCAGTTGACGATGTATGCTTACTAATCTGTTACAGTTGTAGCTTTAGATTTATGAAAAAAAAAAAGTTTACATTTTATATTAAGCATGTTTCTGTGAGCTGATATTAGAGTCATTAAAGGGGTGGTTCACTGGTTTTTTTCTAGGCTTGATTGTGTTTATGGGGTGCAGTCTAACATGTGTTAATGCTTCGTTTTTAAAGGGGTCATCGGATGCCCTTTTTCCACAAGTTGATATGATTCTTTAGGGTCTTAATGAAAAGTCTATAACATACTTTGTTTAAAATTTCTCAGTGGTAGTGTAAAAAACACAATTTTTACCCTGTCAAAATCAGCTCTGTCTTCAGCACGCCGTTCTAGTCCATGTTGCTTTAAATGCTAATTAACTCTGCTGACCCCGCCCCTCTCTTCCATGGGGTGACCAGCAGAATGTAATGCTCTAAAATGTGATTTTTATTTTTTTTATTATTTTTTTTTTTTTTTAAATTTCTGGGTAAAAAAAAAAAAAAACTTTTCCACTGAACACAATATATTCAGCCGTGAAACTTGCTAACTAGCACATATTAGGAAAGGCAATTTGCAAAGATTCATAAAAAAAACCCTTATACTCACTTCTTCTGTAGATGAAGCTGGATCATGATTGATTCGCGCGAACTTAAACGCATTTAGGCAGATCGGGGATCGACGCATTCCTTTCAAAAATGAAAGTAACGTTAATCCTCTGCCTCTTCAGTGGCTCAGATGTCGGGAGTAAATGACAACTGCTATGTTCATTATTAAATCCAGCAACAAAACACCTTAATCGGAGACATTCTTGTCTTCCCCTGCACCAGAGTCGACACAATGGCGGACTGATGACAACTCACTCAGGGCTAGGCATGGGCCGGTATGGGATTTTGACGGTATGATAACCTTAAGCAAAAATATCACGGTATCACGGGATTGTTGTTATAGCTCTAAAATGTGATTTTTTTAATTTTTTTATTATTATTATTTTTTTAAATGTCTGGGTAAAAAAAAAAAAAACTTTTCCACTGAACACAATATATTTTACTTTTGAGCAACATACAGAATAACAACATACAAATCATTATTTGATTTGTTTCTGAAATGTTTGCTGAATTGTGGGCTGTCCTGCAGCTTTTGATGTGGATGGTTGATTTGCTGCTAGAGCTACTGCTGTCCTAAAAAGAAGAAAAATAAAGACTGACATCTTTATTTAACCTAAATCTGTAATTACAGTTGTTTAATTTTAATTATATAATTCATATACATATCATTTGTCATTTCATATAATTTAATTATATAATTTCATACACATAATTTGATTTAATAATAACCCTATTTGAAGCAAAAATAGAATGTTCTGACTAGCTTTGTGAAATTATACTGCATGCCTGAACGAAACAAACAGCAGAAGCTCTGAATGAGACGCCAGTGTTTCCCCTAGGTTTATGGCTTTGGGGGGGCGGGGTGTTCCGTTTTTTTCCCCGTTTTTTTTCTGGACTCCTTTTTAATGGTTAAATTACATTTTATTAATCAAACCGCATGACTAATTAATTAAAATCATGAAACTTAAACAATTTAACATCAATTTATTAAAAGTTTAACAAATAATACATGTTTAGGGCCCTATGAAATGTTTTTATTTTTCCAACCTTATCTTTTATTGCCACCAAATTCTGTTTTAGCATGTCT